GTTGTTGTCAGAAAGGAAGTCGTCAGAATCGTTATCCTGATAGTGTATTTTCTAGTGGAAATGAGTTAGATCTATGATGTATCAAGAAGGGAATCTACTTCTAACCTTCTTAGAACATCTAGATCTCTTAGCATCATCTTGATTACTGGCTTTGATCTTAGGTGGACTGGCATCTTCAGACATTGATGTGGAAAGCTATGTTATTGGTTAATGTAGATCTAAGACAAAAGATATCAAATTATCACACTTACTGCTCTCTTCTTTGGGTTCTTCTTAGTTCTACCCATATTGAAGGCCAGAGATGGTGGTGGTAGAGGATCAAGGTAGCACAAGATCACAGCTGTGTGCAGTTGATCAGAGACATCCCAATTAGGAAATTGAAAAAAGCAGGGTTGGATCAGTACTTTTTATGAGAATAATAAGGGTTGGATCAGTACTTTTTATGAGGATAATGGGGGTTGGATCAGTACTTTTTATTTAGAGGATAATGAGGGTTGGGTCAGTACTTTCTCTTAGAAAATAATAGGGGTTGGATCAGTACTTTCTCTTAGAGAATAATGGGGGTTGGATCAGTACTTTCTCTTAGAGAATAATGGGGGTTGGATCAGTACTTTCTTTTAGAAAATAATGGGGGTTGGATCAGTACTTTCTTTTAGAGGATAATGAGGGTTGGGTCAGTACTTTTCTAGCAGAATAATGAGGGTTGGATCAGTACATATTCTTAATCATAATGGGGGTTGATCCAGTACTTTGTTACACTCTGAAATAAGGGTTGGATCACAAGTTGAAAAAAGGTTGTATCAGTACTTTTAAAATGCTAGAATTGAACTTGAAAAGCAGGGTTGCTTCAGTACATCAAGAACCTGGGTTGGATTTGTAGTTTGGTATAGGGTTGGATCAGTACTTCATATTTAGTTACATCAGTAGTTCAATTTCTGGGTTGATTCAGTAGTTACAAAAGCCGGGTTGATTCAAAGACTGCAGGGGGTAGAAACATATTTTGGATTTTATTTTGGTGACGTGCGTGCGCCTCGAACACCCATTGTGCCGCACACCTGATTTAGTAAGTAGAAGTGGCTTCCTCTTTGTCCGGCGATCCTTCGCTCAGTGTTCTCTCACCTGCACGAGACGCGTATTTCGTCTTGATTGAGTGCTTAAACAGCCAACAGGTGCGTTATTTTTGGCCCGACAGGCCGTAATTTCCATCTTCCACTATCAGGCACTCTCTTGCGCCATTTGCAGGTTCGACTACACCATACCCCAAAAAGGCAATCATGCCTCACACCGAAGGACCACCGGGAGTGGAATACCCATGACGCACGCAATTCATAGCACCAACACGGTGGCAAAATCCTAACTTGTGCAAAAGAATCCCAGAAATGATGTGCTCGGCGAGATAAGGTCTGTCACCCAACAAGAGACATAAAATAGACCACTTCTGCTGCTCGTTGTGAGAAGTCGTCGTCTTCCCCTCCAGTGTGCCGAGAAATATTCGCCATGGCTTCAGCTCCTCCTCCAAGCGAGAAATCGCGCTCGCCCTCTGTTTCTTCTCTTTCGGACGAGTCTACCAATAAGAGATCGACGGATGTCCGAGTCGATGTCAAGTCTGTCCAAGACGACTTGGTCGACGCCGAGCCTGAACCATTCAAGTTGTATACCTGGCTCTTCAGGCGCCACCTCTACAAGCCTACGGATCTCGATTCGGTCGCCACGCGCCGCTCGGTGTACGACGATCCCAACCTCGCCCCGCATTATTGGCCCAAGCCTGAATACGAGAACATTCATCGGTTTGATGTCAAGGCGCGTTGGACTGTCAGGGAAGAACGGGTGCGTTGACCTTTCCTGTACGTATTTGAGACTGCCTCTTGAACCCTCAATCGCAAGGCTTTGGTGCGGACGGTCGACTGGAAGGTTATGCTCTGGGCGGCCATAAGCTTCTCGGTGCTTAATTTGGATCGGAACAACCTCAGCCAGGCGAACACGGATAACTTCTTGCCTGACCTCAATATGACTACGAACGGTGGGTTAGTGTATGACTTCGTGAGACCTTGTTTGTGGCTCATCCTTGGTTATAGACTTCAATCTGGGAAACACGGTCTTCCGTTTGGCCTTCCTATCCGCTGAGTTACCGTCGCAGCTAGTTTCGAAGCGCGTAAGCCGTCTTTCGTCTTGTGTGTGCCTCAATCTCTGATAGTCATTGCGTAGCTCGGCCCCGACCGTTGGATCCCTATCCAAATGGTTGGCTGGTCTATCGTTACCTTCGCGCAATTTTTCCTTACCGGAAGGACTAGTTTCCTGGTCTGTCGTGCTCTCCTTGGGTACGTTTCATGTTCCAGAGACGTCTCGTACGGGTTTTAACCTTATCTTCAATGGTCAGATTTATGCAGGGAGGTTTCATTCCGGACCTCATCCTATACCTCTCCTGTGAGCATCCTACCCTCATCCAATTTCATTGAGCTACGAAACGAGTTAACCGATCTCATAGACTTTTACACGAAATACGAACTTCCTTTCCGCTTGGCTATTTTCTGGATGTCGATGAACGTCTGTAACATTTTCGGAAGTTTCCTAGCCGTTGGGGTTCTTCGTATGCGAGGACTTCATGGTAAGTCTGGGTGGAGGTGGCTATTCCTAGTCGAGTATGTCCACTCGTCTTCAGTCCTGTCTGCTGGCGCTGAAGCTTCGTGTTGGCAGAGGTTGTATCACTCTGGTCATCGGCATTGCGACGTTCTTCAGGATGCCACCTTCGCCGACCCAAACGAAGACTTGGTATCGCCCCAAAGGCTGGTTTACGGAGCGTGAAGAAGTCATCGCGACGTCCAGGATTCTTCGTGACGATCCTACCAAGGTTCGTTGCTTGATTTTTATCTTCCACTGATCCCTCAAATTCACGTATCCTTTAGGGCGACATGCACAATCGAGAGGCTCTAACTCTCAAGCGGCTTTGGCAAGCTCTCATGGACTTCGACCTTTGGCCGTTATATGCAATGTAAGTCAAAATCACAGCATTTTGGGATGAAAGGTGCTGACCAAAAACGACCCCTATAGCGGCCTGCTCTTCGGGATTCCCACCAGCCCTCCGTCGACATACCTGACACTATCTCTTCGTAATTTGGGGTACGTCTACCAACATCTGGCTTCGCCTCTCCGAAATTCATTCTAACCCGTCCGCTCCGTAGCTTCAGCACCGTCCAAACGAACTTGTTGATCATCCCTTCCATCGTTGGCAACATCCTGAACATGTTCATTGTCACCATTCTCTCCGAGGCCATTAATGAGCGCGCCTTCGTCTCAATGTCGGAGAACGTCTGGGCACTGCCCTTCCTCATCGCTCTGCGTACACTTCCGGAAAAAGTCAACTCGTGGCTCTACTACGTGCGTTTCTTGTCCAAAGTCACTCGAATATCTATTGACCTTGGGCATCTTTAGGGCTTATCGTCCGGTTTGCTCATGTTCCCGTACACTCATCCGATCCAAGTTGGCTGGTGCTCTCGGAACGCTGGCGCTGTCGCCAGTCGCACTGTGAATGCTTCTCTCTATAACATGTGGGCCGCCTCCTCGTGTAAAGCAGACTTTAATACCTAACGTTTTCCGTCTAGGTTTGTCCAGGCATCCTCCATCATTTCCGCGAACATCTACCGGAAGGACGACGCTCCGCGATGTAAGCACCCATTTTCCTCGTCATTGCTCCATCTTATCGTAACGTTAAACCTGCCCGTCCCAGATCTTCGAGGAAACAGCCATTTGATCGGTATCGCGGTCTTCAACATCTTGGTGTTATATCCCGGGACCAAATCGTACTACATCTGGCGGAACAAGCAGAGAACCAAGAAATGGGATGCTATGACTTCTGAGGTTCGTCTTTAAGCCTCTTTGGGCCGTCATATTTCCTGGGATGCCGAATATGCTTCGAATAGGAAAAGAGCGAATATCTCGCAACTACGAAGGACTCTGGAAACAGGCGTCTGGACTTCAGATTTGCCCACTAAAGGTTCATAACCGAAGGGATCATTTCACGATTTATACACAAAATATGATACAAGCATAATTAGATTGTACTCGACGATATTCCATGAACGCATTTCTTTCGTTCTTCACTTGATTGATGTAGATTGCGGTCCTGACCCAACGACGTCACTGTTCAGTAAAACTTCGGATGTCGGATGTCGGTCTTGCATTTGAACGCGACTGCTGAGCATTCCTTGACCTTAGGGAATATGGTGCTTGCGAAGTCGTCAAGGAATTCCTGAGTTTCCCTCGAATAATTGTACATCCCATCGTCCCCTCTGAGGAAATCTTCGGGCCGTTGAAAGACATGTATGGTGAAGTCAGTGTCGAAATATTGGAGGCGGCGGTAAATGTTGCGATCAGAGAGAAGCTCATCGAGGGCCGTCCAGTCGCCTTCGAGGGGTATTGGATGCCAAGGGTACTGAGACACGCTGAAGTCAAACTGAATATAGAGTGTTAGGGTGCTGATTTTGTTGGGCGAAGGTTGTTCAAGGAACATGGATCTGAATCGCTTGGTAAATGGGTCATTGCGCTTGACAATGGTCGCAACGGTGAGGGAGCGGAGATTGGGCAAATCTGAAATGTTGACTGTTCCTCTCATGTCCAGCTCTTCATCCGTTTCGTTCCCTGTTTAGAAGAATATTGAGTATAGAGTTGGCCAAAGAGGCAATCAAGCGGCTTACGCTGCAAGGGGTAGGTGTTGATGCATAGAGTCTGTAGGATATTCTTGGACCGGTGCAGTATTTCGAATTCGAGAAGCGGGCCATTCATGGTAGGGAACATGCAGAACCTCAAGTCTTTGACCTTCGTGAATGCTCGTTCGTTTTCAAAGGCTTCAGGAGGGAAGATAGGGACAGACGATCCTTTGCAGTCCATATGAAAGATCTCAAGCTTGCAGAAGCCATCTGTACACCATGAAGTCGACCTCTTAGGAAAGACATTGAGAAGCAATAGCTTGGTGAGGTTCACGCAGTGAGAGACGGCGTCCATTGGGAAATCGAACATGGCGCAAAACGTCAACGAAGTGATCGAAGCCGACGAGCATATCGTCTGGATAAATTTCCGGTTTGCGCTGGGAAGATAGTCGTACTTGTCTACCTCGAACCAGAGGGATTCAAGACGCGGTGCCACTTTCTCCAGGAGAGATTCAAAATGAGTGAGACGCAGGTTTAAGTCGTCCTCCTGATCTTCGATCTTTGCTTGACTGAGTTCTGAGCGCGAAAATGGGGACATAAATGAGAAGGTGACGCGAATTTTTCGAACAAACGATATTGGAGGCGCCATGCCAGGCGGTGCATCGTTAAAGAGTTCAAGGTCAGAAGGAGTGATCTTCTCGACTTCTGTGGCAATGCGCCGGAAAAGATGCTTGCGCGCGCGAATGCAAAATGCACGTGAAGCGAGCATACAATTCATGAGGGCGTCGCGGGTTGATTCGTTCTTGACTGAGTTCCGCCATTCTGCTCCGAGTATGTCGATAATGAAGTCCGTCAGCTCCAGAGGAAGACTGCAGTTTAGAGTCGACAGTAATGGCATGGAGGTGGCGTGTGAGACTACAAGTTAGTCACTTGGTTGAACGTCGGGGTTTTGGTTTAAGTTGAAGATGCTCCGATGGCCATGAAAGGCCACGAAAAGCCACAACACAATACTTATGTACTTATGGAGCGCCGTACTGGACAAAAATAAATGGATTGATTTTTTGACCTGAAATTCTTCATGAATCACAAGGATTCTGTCTGATTCTGTCTGATTCCGTAAGAATCTCCACTAATTAAGACGAATTCTCCTACTCACGAAACAAATCACGTCCGTGAAGGAAGATTCAATGAGATTCAGTCCGTTTCTGGCAGAATCCAGCAGAATCTTGCAGAGCAAATCTTTTCACTTCTCGCTGTGCAGTCAGATTCCTAGCAATTCTGAGTGAAAAAAAAGTAAAACACACTGTTTCTCAAAATCTGAATTTAAGTGCATGTGAGAGGATTCTGGTAAATTCTGTCAGAATCGTGGTGAACGCTTTGCTTTAATTTCGGGTATTATGACTGCTCTTTTCTTCAGATAGGAATCTGCCAGAAGGGCACAACTATACTGTTCATGCGAGTCTACGTATGTTTCCTTTGTCATATTTGATTGAAACCATTGGCCCACCTTATCTCGTTCTCCACCTCAGGTCCGTCCGAGGGCCCGGCAGCCACTACGAACACGAGGAGCAGGTGTACCCGCCTGTTGTCCTGCTCTCTATTCCAACTGTAATCCCATCTCCTGTGGTTCCCCTGAGCAGACATTCAACTGGCGAATTGATGATCTGGCTGCCACTCTTTTCACCTTCTGATCATATTCATAGGCAGCGAAGACGCGAAGAGCTCAAAGTTCCCACGAATAGGCGCCGAATAAGCGCTGCAGTCAAGAGTGCCTAGTGTGACAACCAGACCGTGTATTGACTCAAAATAAAATTTGACATGGAGATTACATCCAAAAGGGCCTCAGAAACCAAGTGGTTTCGGAGGAATGAACCCAGGCAAAAGTAGGGGTTCAATCTTCCTCGAGTAACCCCTCAGTCAATGAGAGAGTCTGAGAGGCTCACTCACAAAGACCGACTTTGTCCTTTTTTCTTTTTTTTGGGGGAAGATGATATGGCTGGGAACTTTTCTATAATGATGGATGCCAGAATTTCAATTTGACGACAGCGCGATCACCCAAACATGACGGCAACACGTAAAGATCATGTACATGGGCATGGGCACACTTCGGGCTGAATCTGTCAGAATACAGCTCAAGAAAAGGAAAAACAATGCTATCCACCAAAGAAAGTGCAAGCCTTGTAGGCAGAATCTGCCAGAATCTATGAGAATCTATGAGAATCTATGAGAATGATAAATGCATTGCATTGCAAGACGGGGGTACGAATCTATAAGAAACGTAATGATTATGCCCGCATCCGCACTCTGCGCGATTCTTTACGAAGCCGAGCAAAAAAAGTACCTCTCGTTTCTGACAGATTCTCACAGAATCAGCCACAATCAGCCGGAAACGTGAGGATTCTTACCCATTCTGGCAGATTCTCACAGATCTTGCCCGAAGTACTCTAGCCGAGCTCAAAAAAAATCATGATTTTTGTCTAGAACGGACCGTCATATGTACTGGCCACCTGTGGGATGGCGGGCCGTCGGCAAATGCCGTGGACTACAAACCATGTGCATGAACGTTTGAACTTTCACCGTCACCAACAACCTCGATAGTTCTGCTGACCGTGAGTCCGTTTCCTCTTTTCTTTTTTCTTCTTCTTTTCCTTTGCTTAGTATGAAGAATTGCTAACTGACGGATCTAGAATCTAGAGGGACATTCTTGCCCTTTCTGACAGTGCAATACCAGACAGCGTTCAAACGCAGACGCCGCCTATGTGCATATCTCCTGCTTGCGAACCCTGTTCAAAATTCAAAGAAGTTCAAACGAAGATTCACGAAGCACGTTCATTACTTTCTCAGCTCGCTGAACAAGAACGTACTCTCAAAATCCATATGAACCAGGTTCACAACCCAACCGGCAGGCTTCCTCCAGAAGTCGTGTCTCGCATATTCGCGTTTGCCTCTCCGTCAAGTGGTGCGATCCTGCAGTTGGCCCTCCGGCTCCCGACATGACTCAGCCTCTCGTGCTCGGAGGCGTTTGTTGTCGATGGCGTTCCATTGCGTGGACAACACCTTCTCTTTGGACCCGAATTCGTGTTTTCATCGACCGGCTAAGGTTTCAGTTCGAAGAAGAGATGGTTGGACAATGGCTTGCACCCTCGGGGTGTTTGCCCCTCTCCATCCATGTCCTCCAGCGGTTTTTGGGTAGACACCCTGTCCAGTCGCTGATCGACGTTCTCAACCGATACTCCAGCCGTTGGGAAACTCTTGACCTCCAGATTCAACCTCGCTTCGTATCTTGTTTCGGGGGAGACTCAGGACCTGTCTCTATTCTCAAGAACCTCTTCATTCGAGATCCCTTAGCTGTCTTTCCGTTCGGCAATGCCAGCAGCACCTTCCTCGACAACACCTTCACCCTTGACAACAAGCGTCCAACTCCTGCCATCGTTCGAGTCTATGGAATACCATTCCGTTCCCTTTCGATTAGTTGGAACGGCGTTACGCATGTCAGACTCGATGAAATTCGTGCGGGAGAGTTGCTCCATTTGCTCCAAGTGGCTCCTTTCATGGCGATCTGCAATATTGGAGAGGTCAAGGAAGGTGACAGCAGCTTCGGTTTTCCTCGGGACCTCACACATCAACGCATTCAAGATCTAAATGCTGACTATCAAAGCCGGGCTGTCGCAGAGCCAATTCTCTCGAGATTAACCCTGCCTTCCCTCACTGATTTCCTCTACATAGCTTTGGCGTCTTACGCTCCCTTATGAGCCGCTCCTCCCCTCCCCTCCGTTATCTTCACATCGCGGACGTTAACGCGACAGAGGAGGAATTTTCTACTCCATTCCTACTCTCGAACAGCTCCACATCTATCATCTCTGGATGGGAGAAGTTTTTGAAGCTCCTTGCTTCTACAGCCATCGTTTCGCGTGACAGTGGGGATGTCACCAAATTCCTACCGAAACTCAAAGAACTGACGGCATGGTTTGAAGAATTGTACAGCTGGCGCACATTGGCAACAATATTCCTGCCAGGGCCTGTTCCAAACGGTCACTGGCGCAGACTCCTGAAAACAGTGCAGATTCACTGTATGTGCACAGATGATGACGAATACATCGACGAGGAGGGTGTTTCACAGTTGATGGCTGTCCGTGAAGCTGGAATCTCGCTCAAAGTCACGAATGAAGATACCGGCAGAGACTTCATCAATGAGTCTCGGGAATATCTTGAAAGCCAGAAGGCAAACGAGACGGAATACACTGAAGACGAAGACATGGAAGACTCGGACGGCTCAGAAGACGAGTGAGCTGTCAATCCCCCAGATCTTCGTCGCTGAGTCAGTTTGTTTCCTTCGGTGCAATAATATGATACTGTAGAGCTCCTGCTCGGAAGGGGAAGAGCTTTCGTCGACCACTTCCGTGATACAGGAGATACTTGAGCGTTGAAAGTAGGATCCCTCTGTGACATCGTTTGTTCAAGAAGAATTAACAAAGCATGTTCCTTTATGTTCACTCTCTTGTTCGATCTAGTCCTCATTCGCGGCAGTACTCCTCCCGACCCCAGCTGAGAATTCGAAGCGCCGCGCTGTGGCAATATTTACACTGCGCCTGTAATGCCGCAGCGAAGACGCAAGAGTCCAAGACTTCGGCAAGATGGGTGCTAGAAACTACGTTTCTCGCCGTAGAAGGCCGCTGTTGCCACTTCTCAAACCTGCGCGAAGTGTTTTTGAGGTTCCTTTCCCATCCAGCGGTGTTTGGGCTTATGTATGGTCTACGTGGATACTAGAGACCTACGTTAGCGCGTACTTAGTGAAGTAAATCAACTTCCTCACCACGATCTCTGCCCCTCCATGACCGCCAGCAGAAGAGGGTCCTTCGGCACGAACCCACAATCCGCCCTACTTGTCACGGAGTCGACAGCCCGAGATGCACCGCTCGTACACCCTCGGGTCATTCGGGATGTGCTCGCCTAACTTGGACAGGATATCCAGAAATAGGCGCCAACCTGCGGAACAAGACGGCATCCACCAGGATGACGACACTTACCCCATACAGCTAAACGCACCTCTACGCACCTCTACGCGTCACAGCGTCATGTCGGAAGGAATCGATGGGTTGCAGGCCGGTGCTCCCATGGTGCCTCCTTTACTTTCCGCAAATATCCTTCCTGCGTAGAGGCAGACCGGGTTATAAAAGCCTGGCGGTTTGGCCTGAAATTCCCCATCTCATTCGCCTCTTCTCCTCTCTCAAAGCAATAATCAAAACCTCAAACCAACTCTTATTTCCCTAACCACAATGAAGGCAAGTGTCTTCATAAAATAAACGACCCTTCGTTGCTGACGTGTGATGCTTCAGGTCCTCGCTATCCTCTATCAAGGTGGTGAAGCTGCTGCCAACGAGCCCCGTTTATTGGGTACTGTCGAGAACAAGGTAAATAGCAATTTTTAGGCTCTAGTATTCTTTGTATTCACCCCTGTCAGCTCGGAATTCAGGATTGGCTCGAATCTCAGGGGCATGAATTCGTTGGTGAGCCTATCCATTTTTCTTCGTGCGAGGGCGATATTGACTTCAATCCTCTCTAGTATGTCCCGACAGAATTCGATTGGCAGTATGGGAATTCTTACATAGGTTTCCAGCAGCAAAGAGGGCCCCGATAGCGACTTCCAGAAACACATCGTTGATGTACGTCTCTTGTCGCACTCGCAGTGTAACTTGAAGGTTTTGACCTCTGTACTGTAGGCTGAAGTCCTCATCACCACTCCCTTCCATCCTGGGTAAGACATACGGAGTAAATATGCTATTAACTGGTTTCTAATCACTCGAAATACTTAGTTACCTGACCCGAGAGCTGATGGAGAAGGTGAATTCATTTCGCGATATCTCCACTCCAGTACCATTGGTTGGTTGACTCTCGTTGAACATCAGGCGAAGAACCTTAAAATCTGCGTCACAGCAGGTGTTGGCTCCGACTACATCGACCTCGATGCTGCGGTCGACCATGACATCCAAGTTCTCGAGGTAATAGCTTAAACCTACCGAACCCAATCCACCAACTGACTCCAGTAAGGTCTCCGGATCCAATGTTGTCTCCGTCGCCGAGCACGTCATGATGAGCATCCTCCTGCTCGTCAGGAACTTCGTCCCCGCCCACGAGATGATCGAACGCGGCGACTGGCAAGTCTCCGAGATCGCGAGAAACGCGTTCGACCTGGAAGGCAAGGTCGTCGGCACCCTCGGTGCAGGCCGCATTGGCTACCGTGTCCTCCAGCGCTTGGTCCCGTTCAACTGCAAAGAACTCCTTTACTACGACTACGCACCCCTTCCCGCAGCTGCTGCTGAGTCTGTCAAGGCTCGCCGCATAGTGGACCTCAAGGAATTCGTTTCCCAGGTTTGTGCTTATAGCTGCCTTCGTTCTTTTAATGAATTAAATGCTTCTTTCTAGTGCGATCTCATCACAATCAATGCGCCTCTGCACGACGGCACCCGTGGACTCATCAACGCAGAGCTGCTGAAGCACTTCAAGAAAGGCGCCTGGATCGTTAATACCGCCCGCGGCGCCATCTGCGACAAGGACGTCATTGCCGCCGCCCTCGCCAGCGGCCAGATCACCGGTTACGCTGGCGACGTCTGGAACGTGCAACCTGCCCCGAAGGACCACATCTGGCGCACAATGAAGAACCCTCTCGGTGGCGGAAACGGCATGGTGCCACACTACTCTGGAACGACACTCGACGCCTAAGCCCGATACGCCAACGGGACGAAGAGGATCCTCGAAAATTACTTCCAGGATAAGCCCCAGGAGCCGCAAAATATCATTGTGGGTAAGGGCAAGTATGAGACCAAGGCTTATGGCCAACGTTGAGAGGCTTTGGTTGGACTTCGAACTACTCGTAGTGATTGCTCCTTACTGTATTTTTGTAATTGATGTCAATAATCCCCAAAGAAATCATCTGACCCTGTTTTATTGGAGCAACGTAGAATCTGAGGCGCTGTCCTTGGGAACCGTTTGGTTCTGATGTCCTTTACCATTTATATGTAAAAACCAGTGTGGCGCACGGAGCCATTTAATGGTCGACCACCGGTCATTTATCTACTGATCAAGAGTGAAACAAGAACAAGCAAGATGCAAGGATTGTCCTTGTTCTTCATGGCCCTCGAAGTCTACCATCCAACCATCGGCCAGGCAGTGTGCATCAGTATTCCCATTATCGCTGTCTAATATGTGGCAGGTGCAAAGCATCGTAACTATGAGCGCAGAACTACAGGCCCTTCTAGCACTGCATACAAGTGTTATTGCTCGCTTCGCTCGCAATTCCGGCTGGGGTGCAGCGAGGAGTAAACAAAGCCAAACTTCTTGATTCGAAGAATGCCCCCGAGATTCATAGAATGTTCAAAATCTCGCTCAAATCTCCCCCGTTTCCTATAGTACTGCATATATGTGGTATTCATGAGTGAATAAGTACGATGGTCAAAAAAAAAATCGTACATCTACAGCAAAATTTGAAGGTTTTAGAAGTGTGCCACTTTTTTGACTGTAGGTGACATATCCTCTTCTACATCCACGTATCGCATTCTGCCCACTGTATTTGTGTTAATTCCGGTGTACGATGTTCGTCTCTGCAACTGCAAGAGACCTGAAATATGTGCTGCAACGATGTTCGTAAGGAGCCACATTACTGCATGTGCTAGCCGCGTCGCGTTCTACTAAGGCCACAACGGAGAAACGTAGATATCAAGCTATGTAACATGTACAATAATCATCCTTGCGAATGTCCTTCCAGGTGGGATGGTGAGCCCGTGCGAAGCACGGGTGAACACTGCGCAGCGAGCGTCCGTCGGCCTTCGGCCGACAATTACTCGTGTAAGCTATCTACTTTTGAGGTGGAGGCAAGATCTTGTCAACCGAAGGTGGCAGAACAAAGTTCTTCTCCGAAAGAGGCGTCGCTGACCCACTCGCTGTCCCGCTCGCCGTTCCATTGCCGTTAGTCGTACCGATCCCATTTGTCTGTGGGTTACCGCCTCGAGTAGGAGGGGCGACTCCCTTAGCCTTCTGCAGGCCCCTGAAGAATTTGGTGCCGCCAGCGTAGAAGAACAGCAAGCTGCCCATGACGACGATGTGGCCATACCACCCAAGTGCTTTCCATGTAGCAATCGAGTCCTTGGCAGAGAGTATGATGAAGGGCGACGCAGCGTAGTTGAGGATCATAGCGGAAAGGATTACTCCGCCGAGGTCGTAGAGACGCTTCGCGAGTGAAGGAGGGTCATGAGGATTTGTGGGCAGGAGGAGAGGCCTAATATTTTGACGAGCGAGACGGGCGGCAGCAGTGATGAAGCCACCCATGAGGAAGGTGAGATAGTATCCGCTCGCAATGCCGTGCTGGGAAGAGAAAAACATTCAAGATAAGATGGAGAAGATGCGACAATAAGCAGAACATACCCAGAAAGCGCTCGTGAAGAACGTAATCATGCTGCTACTGAAACCAGGCTTCTTGCCCTTGGGCGTGACACGCTTGTACACACACTCACGGAGCCAGATGTTCGTCTTCATGTTCCACGAGTCGAGGAGAACCTTGAAGTTCGGTGGGAACTCAATCTGCCAGACCTTTACGTTCGCAGCGCCATCCCACATTGGCTTGCCGTGTATTCCGATGTCGGTGAACCCGAGGCCAGTCAGGATACTCGCACCCTGTCGAATTGGGTCAGTCAATGATTGACAGCCGCAAGACAGATGATGTACCTCGGTCAATGTCCATATAGCGTAGTACTTGCAACGTTCGATTGGACCACCGAGTTGGAAGAAGACAATGCTGTACCAAAGGAAGACCAGTCAGCGACCTCATCCTTTGGATAACATGAGACAACCCACCGTTCAAACAGACTCTTCTTCATGAACTCTGGGTTCGACGCCACTGAGAAGTTGTAGGTCGGTCCATACAACACAAAGAGCCCAAGGTAGACAAGTCCGAGGAACATCTTGATATATGCGGCGCGCTTTCTGCCCGGCGGGAGTCTCTTCCCTTTCTTGACGGACGCCTTGACGTGAGCATGTTGGAACATAGTCTCATTAATGAGTTCCATGTATTCCGAGAAGTCAAGGTACGGGCCGACAAGGATACCAGGGAAATAGAATCTGACACCAATCATTAATACGCGGGTCTGATCTTTAGCAAGGCATTGGCAACTTACGAATATCCGAGGAATTCGAGCAGAGACGGATAGGTGGTGATGCGTTTGGAGAGTTGCCACTTGTCCAGCTCCTGAATTGTTTCTTGTTGAGAGCAATTCGGGCAAAACAGATACTTCTTCAACGCACCTCCGTCTTGCGACGCCCATCGTATACATTCCAAGCGAAAGTCGTCAACTTCATGGTCAAAACCATCTGAGGACCAGTCACTTCCATCGTCTCGTAGCTGAACCCGTAAATAGCACGAATGACGTGGCTAGTTGAATTATGATTAGAAAGCGGCAGGATGGAATTGCAAACGAAGTTCGTACTTGACTGTCAAATGCCCCATAACGATACTAAAACTCGATCAGTTGCCAGTAATACCAATGCTGGGCCACCGACATACGCAAAGACGATCCAAGGCATGCTGGAACTCTTGTTGTATTTCGCAACGAAGTACGTAGCCAAAATGCTACCCAGCAGTTGGAAAAACGCTGAGTATATCTTCAACACGGGGAAGAAGAACAGAATAGCGACCCCGATGCTGAAGAGATGGCGCAGAGCTGGCTTGCTGGTCGGTACGCGAACGAACAGAACTCCGAGTGGGTATGCGACCAGGAGACATGAGATGAGCTGTTCAACGCGTCAGCAGTGACCACGACACGAACAACGTGGTCGACGCACCTTGATTTGGTCAACGCTGGCACCAACAGCGTTGGCCAGCGGAAGGAAGAGCGCGTCCATGTTCGACACTCAGCACGGTTGGGAGATCCGTCTAGTGGGGCTCGTCCTCGTTGTTGACTGTGTCAGCTGGAGGGACGTGGCAGATGGTAAACGAGTGGAGTTGACCAGAAATATTTCCGTTGGGGCATCTTCACGCCTTCCTCTTTTGGTCTACTCCCCAACTCGGCACAACCTCAAACAGGCGCCGAGGATTTACAGCGATAATTCGTGAAGAACGAAATGGATCAATCCCCGCTCACCTCAGAATCATTAGCAAGGGTGTTAGAACAAAATAACATTGGTACGTCTACTCATTTTTACTCTATAATCACTTGTCTTCATTTTCAGAAGACTTCTCGCAAGGGTTCGGACAGGGATCCTTGTAATAGTATTCTAATAGATGAGCGACTTCTAGCATAATATTCAGCAGCATACAAAGACAATTCGGCTATACACGTCCAAATTGGCGCCTCCCAGTATCATGTCCAATTCTCGCATACGAATCCAAAGGCCTCCCTGACACGAACTGAATAAGTAAGGTTTATTCATTCGATGTGAGGATACCTGACACTTACCGGGACAAGTGTCCCACTTGGGGGCACGATTCGTATCTTCTCCCTTCCCTTCAAGCCATAGCACGAAACCCATTCTGGCGGAGGCTTGGCGGTGATATCCCTCTCCAGTGTAAACCCGGTGAAGCGCTGCAGGAGGCGAACCAGGAAATACGACCCTTCGTTAATTGCGAACTAAGGCCGGAAGAGCCAGTTAATGTCGATCTAAGAACTTGTTCAGACGATCTACTTACCTGTTGTCCAAGACATAACCTTTGTCCAGTTCCGAATGGAGCGTATATGTGTGCGTTGTGAGCGAGGTACTTCTGGTACTTCTCGTCCAGGAACCGGTCAGGATCGAATTTCAAGGCGTCGGGACCCCACAGATCGGTCCGGTGGTGCATATTGATGATGTGGAAAAGACAACTTGGGGGTGAAGTATAAGGTCTTTATGGGATGCTCGCTCGGTCAAGAAGGGCTCTCACGTTGTATTCTTCGGGATGAAGATTGGTTTTTCCCCCACTCCGATGGGAGGGAATACGATGTCTTTGTTGGACAATCTATAAATAAGCATATCAAATGGCCATGGCCACAAAGTTGCACAACCGCGCAAGTCAACATACATACCTGGAATTCAGTGGTCTGGGTATTGTCAATGGTAAACATTAAGAGACTAACAGAGGACTGGGCACTCACATGGGCGGGTAAAGTCTCAGGACCTCTACATCGCAGTCAGAGGGATGACTAGCAACAACTTAAGAGGATGCACCGTTTATAAAAGCCCTAATATATCTCATACTTCGAAGAGTTTCCTCGCTTGGTCTACCACTATTTCCGACAGTATCGAAGATTTCTTGGCGAAGGCGACGTTCAATATCAGGGTGTTCGATCAACATGTACATGACGAATGTGAGGAAAGCGGTTGCCTGCGAAGCCGATAAGACCGTAATGTATTCAAAAAAATACCGTATCTCGGCCAGCTATAAGCATGTAAACGAGTTATCAAGAGAAGTAAGAGTAATTATCAGACTGGTCTGTCACCAAGAAAGGCAAAATCGCACCTCGTCCTTGAGTAGTTCTGAATCTAAAAGATATAACAAGCTAATTGAGCCCTACTAAGTAGTGCAAGAGAAGACAACATGAACATTGAACGCGTTTGGCAAGGTGTTCCAAGAGTGTGATCTCCTGCCTCTCCTTTACCTCCTTTCCCTTCTTCCTTTGGGTCAAGGTATTCTCAACAAACGGTCCGAAAACATCATTCATCGTCTTCCTCAACGGCGTGACCACTTCGGACCGCATCGCCCCAGAACTCGAACAGAGGCCACTCCGCCCCCAGGGGCACACGTGCGTTTGTCTTCTCCAGAGCCTCTTCGAGCGCGTGGGCAAACATGGTCGATGCGTGAGTGCGGAGAGATGACGGGTTACGATGGGCCTCGGAGGGCGTGTACGGGATTCCAGCTTCAATGGAGCCGTGTCCCGTCAGGAACTGGATAGTGACATCGAGAGCGAAGTGGGAGATCAGATCCTAAGTATAACATAGCCTGGTTAGACTTTCCGTCCCAAACACAGGCAGGTTGGTCAGATAGGTGATTGCCTGGAAGTCGATAGGGAAGCCCTCAGCGATTCTCTTCTGTGCTCGAGCCAGCGTAAGCTCGGAGTCGACCACAGATATCAAAGTCGCTGACGCGTCCGCGAGAAAAGAAAGGGCGCGACATTGAACGATGGAACCTTCGACCTCCAATAATTCAGTCTAAGCAGATGGCGACCGAGTTGTACACACAGCTCCACAGATCGCCTGTTGAAAATATCGTTAGCTTTTGACCTTGCGGCTGAAGTGTATGTCAAACAAACAAACCGTCTGAATTGAATATTCCTGTCCCAAGGAGAGAGCCCAGCTGCGAAGTCAATATCGAGCCTGTAAGGACGATAAGGAAATGTTCAGGGAGGCGTCCAGTACGCTCAAAACCTGACCTTTCTCGAAGGCTGTATGTTGGGTCAACAATATCGCCTTGACATGCTCCGGTTCCATCGTGAAAAGCTGGAGAAATCAGAGCCACGGTGCTCTCAACTTGAACGCAGGAAACATCAAAAAGGGACATCGACAAACCATACTCGTCCCAAGCAAGTTAACTCGGACGGCGTTTCCATGTTCCTTCGACCACTCATCCATAACATCCCCTGAGGAGGCAAGGCCATCTTTCCGTTTAATGATCTCCAATCGCGAGTCGGACTACCCAGCTTAAAAAACCCGTCCGGAGCCCAGCAGTGACCTTGGACACCAGGGAAAAGAGATTCTTGCACTCTAGGAGGAAGGACAGCGCCACGGGCTGCAGCTGCAGTCTCATGACCCACTTGCGCTAGATATGCTTCAGCGAGAAAGGCAATGGGCCGTGCGAAGAGGGCGAGAGCGACGAGCTGCCACAACGGAGGGTCTATCGTTGGATAAATATACACCTTCATGATCCTGAAGGAAAGGTACGCCAAAGCAGATGGGAGGGCCCATCGCGGGAAGTGGTGGAGAAGGTGAGCGGGGCCTGGTGGGAGCTGCGTGCAGATAAGCCGACTTGGGGGTGAGAAGCAAGACAGAGTCAGAGAAATCTTGGGCTCTGCCATTTATGCTCAAGATACCACCTGTCTGGTGACCAGCGACTATACAAGGGAACGCAAGCCAAACATAATGTGGTCGATCATCAGCCGTCCTGTCATTTCAAAGTGCCTCAGGCCATGGGCCGGTTCTGCAGGTGGCCAGCCATTTACACAACCACTGGAATGCGATGAGAAAGTAGAAACCAAAAGACAGTTTAGCAGGAACTTGCCTCAGCCCACACAGAACGGACCAACAGCACCTCGTCGAGGATCGTAAGTATGCTTTGAAACCTAGGTTTGTGTTCTGCGAAGAGGAATCTTCGAGTTCGACTTGCACGCGGCGGGATGTTTCAATGCATGTCATAACGAGGAGAAAGAGGTGCATATGCGACAATAGACGTGAGTAGGCAACAACACATAATGCATAATATCCCACAGCCCACGATGACACAACCATACCACAAGCAAGCTTGCCAGACTCTCGTCCTCTCCCGTCGTGCAACTCTCTTCCTTTTCGGCACGTATCGTGATTTTGGATCGAGGAAAAGATCTTTACACCTTGAAGCCCTTCGACTTTCGGCGACCACGACCTTGCTCGAATTTGCGTCCCTTCGAGATGGTGTACGGCTTCTTGTGCTTGTGGGGGCCTGCAATAGAGATAAGGGTGGGGCAAAACGATTAGAGCCGTAGCTGACATACCCATGCCGAAGTGCTTGTAGGCCTCACGAGCGGTCTTCACTCCTCGCAGCAGGACGGTGTTCGATCCAGTAGGCGCACGGAGGGCAAGCTGGTCGAGGGTGAGGACCTCACCGCCAGCAGCAAGGATGCGCTGCTTCGCAGCCTGGGTGAAGCGCAGGGCGGCGATGCTTAGTTTCGGGACGGTCGTCAGCCGGATATCGTCCGTCACAGTGCCGACTTGGATGATGACTTTGGACGACAGGTCGGGGGTGTTGGCGGTTTCTTTTACGATGCGAGAGAGAGAGAGGGGAGGGCGGTTGGTTTTGGAAAGGAAAAGACGGTGCAGGATGACCTAGATAAGGACAAATCAGGGCTCTTTCCTATCAAGTTCTTAGGCTGAAAATCACCTTGTTGAAGCTGGCATCTGTGCGGCGGGCAAGGAAGCGGTAAAGCTGGTCAAAAATGCTGTAAGCGCCCTAGGTCATCCCTCCAGAAAAGCAACAAGTCGTGTACCTTGACAAGGAGAAGCAGATATGGGTCCTCGCTCTTGGGGGCGGTTCGGCCGCCTTTCTTGACGTGGTGGCGGGTGATGTCGATACCCTAGAGAAATAATGACTACAGTCAGCGCAGCTTCAGGACCGCCGGCGACGACGAGCTCACCATCTTGGTTGTTGCCGGAGTACAGTATTTGGGCTTGTTGTGGACCAGGAGAGGCTTGATGAACTGTACAGGCAAGATTTTGAGTTCAATCTCCGCTTGAATTCTTTCCCGCACGTTTTAACGTTTTAGTGAGTCCGCTACTGTGTAGGACATCTCAGAGTTTAGAGGTAAAGATTAATATTTCTCCGGAACCTTTGTGTATCATATTACTATTTCAAGTGCATGGGATGTAGCGAGAAATATAGCAGACTGTACCTACTGCTAGGAATGGAGGCTCGAGCGCAGGTCTTTCAGAAAAGAAAGGAGCCAAACAAGGCCCAACAACTCCTCTTGTTGAACCATCATGGTGAGTCAGCTGCCCGGGTCTCATTGACCGTCGTTGCTCACCGTCCGTCGCGTCCAGTACGACTCTTCTGCCGCTGTTGACCCCTACTCTGATGCGTACAATGCGCCTCCAGCGCCGGCCTCTGCTGAGCGCGACCCACCGGCGCCACGTGGACGCTCTCGCTCCAGGAGTCCAGTGAGGGCCAACGGCAACAGCAACGGCGACTCGAGGTACAGGAGCCTCCCACCGTACCGCAGCAGGAGGTCGCCGCCTCCTCGCAGGTCTGCCCATGCACCCCTTGTCAGTCGCTCTCAAATATATCAGGGTCGAGCAAAAATGAAATTGACGACTTCAAGCAGCAACCCAATCCCTCTCAAGTGCTTGGCGTCTTTGGGCTGAGCATTCGCACTCAGGAACGCGACCTCGAAGACGAGTTCAGCCGCTTCGGGCGTGTTGAGAAGGTCACCATCGTGTACGACCAAAGGGTGAGTCAATCGCCTTGGCTGTGCAGCACTGCCTGAAACCTCAAGCTGACCACGTGTCGTTTTCGCAGTCAGACCGCTCTCGCGGCTTTGGGTTTATCAAGATGGGTGCCGTGGAAGAGGCAACCAAGTGTGTTCAAGAATTGAATGGCATTGTACGTGATTGATTTTCTTTCACCGCATTGATCATCAATCCTTACTTTTGTCTTCAGGAGCTCAATGGGCGCCGCATCCGTGTTGACTACTCTGTCACCGATCGCCCCCATGCCCCCACGCCAGGAGAGTACATGGGTCACCGCCGTTCCGGTCGTGAAGAGCGCGACCGCGATTATCGTCCAAGGAGGGACGACCGCGACTACAGGGATCGTGATAGAGACCGCGACTACCGCCGCAGCGATCGTGACCGTGATAGGGGGGACCGCGGCAGGGATCGTGACGGCTATGGCCGCGACAAGGATTGGCGCGACCGCAGCCCTCCGCCGAAGAGTCGCGGGTACTCGCCTGACCATAGGCGTCGCAGGAGTTACTCCAGAACCCCGCCGCCCAGGGGTAGCAGCCCTGCTCCTCGTTCCAATGGCAACGGAAGGGATTACGACATGGGACCTGCTTCCCAAGAAGCCACGCGCTGGTAAATTTTCAAGATTACCTCACGTTGTCAAGCCTACGTCTTCTGCCTCCTCTGACCACTCAAGCCTCTGTTGGTCTGGATTGGTATGGATATGCTGCATATTTTGTCATTCGCATCTTTTCTTGTCATTTCTCTACCGTCTCGTTTTCTTCTCCCTTTCCTATTTGTCATGATTTTTCGCTTCTCTCTGACCATTTTTTGATACACCCATTCCCTTCTCTTCGAGGTGGCCATCGTTCCTTTGGGTCGTCGTCGTTGCCTGCTAACGCGGGGTCTGCAAGTTCCAGTGGATAGAATGCGGAAGAAGGACTGAAAAGTTTATTAATCAAAGTTATAATTCGGGGCAAGAAAGAAAAGAAAAAGAAGCCTGTCGCTCTCCAGTCTGCGCTCTCCAATTCTCCCCCTGCTTTCTCGTCGTCTACAACCCTCTTCCATCCTCCACGTTGTCAAGTTTCCTCAGTCCGTCGTCGCTAGTAATATGTTTGCAAGTTTACAAGATTTTATCTGCTGCAATTGTCAAGCGCAAGAATGAAAGAAAGAACATCGTGGTTTCCGTCCCGGCTCAAGTTGTTGGTATTGGCGCTGGTCCTTGGGCGGTCTCCGTTGTGCGTCGGGGCTTCAGGAAAGCTTATCGTGACCCCAGGCAAGAGATCGACAAAGGCGGCCTCCGTCGCCTCATGTACTGCAAGAAAATACACTGTCTGACCTACCTCGTCCGTCTCGGCATTCCTGTGGGCGAAAAGGGACCCCAAGTCTGAGGATGCCGTTATGTCTCCATTCATTCATTAAACTTCAATTTCCCCCGTTTCTCGCAAGAACATTCAAGGCCGCAGCAAGAAGCCGTTTGTCCCTTGTTACTCGGAACACAGAAGGTTCTTGTTACGTTCTGGTCGTGCTGGGTGCTGATTGCGTTTTGTCGCAGATGCCAGGGTTATCAAAATTGGCGCCCACGCAAGAACCCGAGTGGGCGAGGCTTCTTCAAGACTCGGCTCAGGGCAAGAGCGAATCGTTGTTCTGAACGTTCGTGGGGTCGTCGTCGTCTGTTGGTCCATCCTGATGGTGGCTACCGCTGAAATCTCGTTCCTGGTTGTGGTGCGCTTCTCCTTGTTCTGTATATACTTGTTGCGAGTCGGCGTTCTGGTCTGTGTTGTTGTTGGCTCCCTGTGTCTTCGCTGGCCTCGAGGTGTGGTTTGTGCGCTCTCTCATCTCTTATCGTGTACTCAGTTCTTCACATCATCTGCGAAAAGTATTTTTGTTGTGATCATCTGCCGCATGCATGTAGTAGACACATCGATAATACAAATACTCTTGCTGTCGCATTCTTAAATGATGAGCGATATACAGCGGTCCCCGTTGTAAGAGAATAATCATGATTGAATTCTTGTACCCCCAGTCCTTCGTTCTTCCTGCTTGTATTCGGTCTAGGTTCTTGCAGAGGATATGCACGTGAGTACAAGTGCTGGCTCCAGGATACGTGTAACGTATACCTCTATAATGAAGCAGATCCCTCGACTTCGTGTACGTCTGTTTGTACGTCTGCTCGTGCCCGTTTTCCCGTTTCGTCTCTCCTCCCTCAGACACTTTATTGTTCTACCCCTAGGTCATCAGGCAATGTCCTATCCTCGATTCCCCTCAATGCTTCTTAATTTTTTCTCTTCCCTCCTATTCCGTTAGTCTGTGTGTCCTTATTTCCTAGAGTATTGCATGACGGACAATTAATACTGTACCTTACACACCGTTGTAACTTTTGATCCTCTACTTCCCTGCTCCTCTATTCCCTTTCTCTCCCTCCACATGCATTCATCTTCATCTCTCATCCCCTGTTTTTTTCTCCTTTCACATAAGCACTCATAAGTGCCTGCTCGGCTGCACTGCACGTGTCTATCGCGTCAACTCTGCTCTTTCACATGAGCCACAGCCTTGCCTTTCCGAGTTCCATTATCCCCAGACTTTAGTCTCTTGAGATTCCACCCCTTCCAAAACGTCAACTTTCGATCGTATGACACGGGGCTAGGTTCCGCATATTCTCAAGCCGCCAGTCTCCAAGTCAAGTCCTTGAGTTTCGTTCATTTTTGCGCCGTGGTCCTACAGGAATTCGAGTTTCATCCGAAATTATTCTTCTGAGATTCTGCTCAGTGGCGGATTTTGTTTATGGCCGAAGCGAAGCGAGGCAAATATCTTGTGTACATGAAACAAATGCAAAGAAATCAGTCCGTAAAAATAACCTCGTCAATCAACCTTGCTAGCTTTGATCTCCCACATCCCTTTCAGCCCTTTCGTCAAACCTTCAAATACAACCCTCCGTCCCAAAAAGTCGAGCTGCACAACGCCACTCGCGAACAACGCTTCATCTCCTCCACACCTCTCTGCAAATGCACCACTGACCCTCGCCCGCCCAGCGTCGCCCAACACCGAGTTCCAAAAGTGCCTCGGATGCACCTGGGTGTGCAGCTGCGCATGGAGCTGCTCGAGGACGTCACCGACCGTGATCCCGTTCGGGGTCGTGGCGCGGATGTCGACGTACCATGGCAGCTTGGGGT